ACGTTTGAACAATCGGGAGCCCCGGCTACAGTGTGCACGTGTGCTTGGATTCAGCGGGCTGGTGCTTGCAACCTAAATGCACTTCAGGAGAACGGTAGACAACGGTTTATGAAAACAAACGTGCTTTTGAGTTCGGTTTTGTGCGGTAAAAGTGCTTATACGGTATGTTCTGGGACCAATTTGGACGCATTGATGTCAGTACAACCGGCCTGTCAATATGGCGAATGTCAGTGTGGCGCGAAACAGGGTGTACGTAGCTGCTGCATCTCGTTTGTTGCTATCAGCGCTTTCCCCAGTGCAATTTTTCCGCGGAGCGCTTTCTGTTGGCGCACTGGACGAGTCACCACTCACCACTCACCACGCTCACTGCTGGTGGTGGTTGCCCTGCAATCACGTTTTTTTGCTGGCTTGGGCGGTTGCCCAAAATGTTGCCCTAAATTGTAGATTTTGCGAAGCCACTTTTAGAAATGACGCTAATCAGTTGCGACTGAGAATGTATGCACTTCTATAGTGTTATATCATTCAAAAATAGTGAAAGTGTAGATGTCCTGAGTTGCGGTGGGTCAGTCGAAAGTGTACAGCAAAAGATGGTGCGGTGGCCAATGCGGAGAAAATCCGAGCATAAGCAACTGTGAGATGTCGCCACGCCACCAGTGGCGAAACTCCCCAGTGGAGATGTAGCCGCCAGAGCCCGTTGGTAGACCCCCTCCCTCCCCAGGGTGCTGCTCCCTCAGGTGTTTCCCAGGTAGACCCGGTCGAGCCTGTCGAGGTAGCTGTTGCCTCTGGTCCTGCGCGAGGTACTGAGCGTGCTGAGCCTGGTGGTGCTGGGTCTGGGGGCACTGAGACTTTGGGTGCTGAGCCTGGAGGTGCTGCGACTGGGGGTGCTGAGCCTGGGGGTGCTGAGACTGGGGGTGCTGAGACTGGGGGTGCTGAGCCTGGTGGCGCTCCCTCTTCACAGCAGCTGCGTGAGTGGTACTCCCAGCGCTACAGCCTCCGTCGTGGGGCTACTGGAGCTGGGGGGTCTGCTGGAGTCGGGGCTGGTGGCCTCGCAGGTGCAGTGTCGCAGCCAGAGCCTCCCTCCCCTCAGCGGCTACGTGAGTGGTACGCTCAGCGCTGCAGCCTCAGGAGTGGAGCTCCTGGTGTTGAGGTACCGCCAGCTGGAGGCCCTGCTGCTGGAGGTACTGCTGGTGCTGGTGCTGCTGGAGGTGCTGCTGGTACTGCTGGAGGTCCTGGAGCGGCTGGAGGTGCTGCTGGTGCTGCTGGAGGTTCTGGAGCTGCTGGAGGTGCTGCCGGTGCTGGTGGAGGCTCTGGAGCTGCCGGAGGTGCTGCTGGTGCTGGTTCGGCTGGAGGTTCTGGTGCTGTCTCTGCTGCTTCTGGGGGCACTTCACGGCCGCGGCCGTACTTCGTTCCGCTCCTTCAGCAGGTTCTTGGTCAGCCGCCTCCTCCTAGTCCTCCTCCCTCCTTAGAGTGTCCTCCGCCTGTCCAGTCGCAGTCCCAGCTCCCGCCTGCCTCGCCACTTCCTGGTCCTTCTCCCTACACTGGTCCGACAGGCGGTCTTACAGAGCGTCGTGAGCCTGAGTCTCGTCCTGTGTCGCCTGTGTCGCGTCCTGTGTCACCTGTTCGTGCTACTCGCACTGGTCGCTGTGGTCAGCGTGAGCGTCCTCCACCTGTGCCTGGCACACACTTTATGGCTCTGCGTCCTTCCACTGCTCCACAGCGTGTCCCTCTGCCGTCTCCTCCTGAGTCCTCTCTTCCTGTCCTTGCTGACCCGGAGTCTGACTCTCTTCGTGCTGCCAGTCCTACTGTCACGCGTCTCCTGGCCACTGCTGTCACTGACCCTTCCTTTGAGTCTGCTGCTGCGTCTGCCTTAGTTGCTGAGCTTGTCGACTTTGCTGCTCGCTGTCGTCTAGACTACGCCACGAGTCTTGTTGCTGAGTCTGAGTCTGTCTGTCCTCCGTCCGTCGGGGGTGAGTGTGCTCTAGGCACGGACGTCCTTGAGGACAGGCAGGAGGACCTTGAGTGTCTTGCAGCCACTGCGTCTCATCTCGTTTCCATGCTGATTGCCCCTGAGGGAGACCCGGATGCTCCAGACATCCCGACCCCGCGCTCTTACGCTGAGGCGATCGCGGGTGAGTACTCCTCTCAGTGGCAGTCAGCCACGGACGCAGAGATGGCATCCTGGAAGTCCACTGGCACTTACGTCGACGAGGTTCCCCCTCCTGGGGCGAACATCGTCAGTGGCATGTGGATTTTCAGGGTGAAGCGGCCGCCGGGTTCTCCGCCTGTCTTCAAGGCTCGTTACGTTGCTCGAGGCTTCAGTCAGCGAGAGGGAGTAGACTTCTTTCAGACCTTCTCCCCCACCCCGAAGATGACCACTCTTCGGGTGCTACTGCACGTTGCTGCTCAACGTGACTACGAGCTTCACTCACAGCTTTCTTGCAGGGCAGCCTGCACGAGGAGATCTGGCTGCGCCGCCCTCCTGGCTTCACTGGGTCGTTTCCTCCTGGTACCCAGTGGAGCCTCCGGCGGCCGGTCTACGGTCTCCGCCAGGCGCCACGGGAGTGGCACGACACACTGAGGACTACTCTTGCGGCACTTGGGTTCGCGCCTTCTACTGCTGACCCGTCGCTGTTTCTGCGCACCGACACTTCGCTGCCGCCGTTCTACATCCTCGTGTACGTCGACGACTTGGTCTTTGCCACTGCTGACACTGAGGCTCTCGCCCCCGTGAAGTTGGAGCTGCAGAAGAGACACACGTGCACAGACCTGGGTGAACTGCGCAGCTACCTTGGCTTGCAGATCACCCGGGACAGAGCACGCCGCACCATCACACTGACTCAGTCACACATGGTGCAGCAGGTCCTTCAGCGCTTCGGCTTCACCTGGTCCTCAGCACAGGCCACTCCTCTGGCTATAGGTCACTCGCTCTCAGCACTGCCTTCGGATGAGTCCGTAGAGCCGAGTGGTCCTTACCCAGAGCTAGTTGGTTGCCTCATGTACCTGATGACTTGCACTCGTCCTGACCTAGCATACCCTCTTGGCCTTCTGGCCCGTTACGTGGCTCCTGGCAGGCACCGAAAGGTGCACTGGGATGCTGCAAAGAGGGTATTGCGCTAATTGTGCAGTACATCGGGCATGGGGCTCGTGCTTGGAGGAGGGAGCTCAGTTGTTCTCACTGGGCACTCAGACGCTTCTTGGGTTGACGACCAGGCTACTCAGCGGTCGTCACAAGGTTACACCTTCAGCCTTGGCTCTGGTTCAGTTTCTTGGCGTTCTACTCGCTCGTCTTCAGTTCTCAGCTCCAGTTGTGAGGCTGAGATCTACGCCACAGCCATGGCTGCACAGGAGCTACGCTGGCTGACCTACCTGCTGACCGACTTGGGAGAGCGGCCTAGTTCTCCTCCAGTGCTGTACGTCGACAACAAGGCTGCCATTGCCTTGTGTGAGGAGCACAGACTGGAGCACAGAACGAAGCACATCGCTCTCCGTTACTTCCTGGCTCGAGAGCTGCAGCAGCGCGGTCAGCTTTGTCTGCGTTACGTGGCCACTCAGGCCAACACCGCTGATATATTCACCAAGGCACTTCAGCCTGGTGATCATCAGCGCTTCTGCACTATGCTGGGGCTGGTGCCCGCTTTTCCTCACTTGCTGTAGGCTTTGCCTGTACTGTGATCTCTATATATGTATACCTGCCTGTTTGCTTTGCTAGGTTGAGATCACCTTGCTGTTTGTGTTGCATATATGCCTCTGCATGTGAACTGGCCCTGTGGCCCTTTGCTTGTGCTCAGAGTGTGTGGTGACGTTGTGATCCACCCTTAGCTTGTTTGCCTTTCTTGACTGGTCTTGTGACCCCTTGCTCTCCCCCACTTTGCCTATGGGGGTGTGTCAAACATTATATATGTGTTATTGCTATGTAGGCTATAGTGGGTTAGCCTTTAAGGGGTACACAACTCTAGGGTTTCATACTTGTACTCCAATGGTTCATAGTTCAATCACTTCTTGCTTCTGACAAATAAGAGCTACTCAATGATTTGGATCATAATACCTTGGTGGAATAAATAGCTTCCATCTTTCCCGAAGGGCTGCCGAAATTGCATCGTGGCGGAATTTGGACATGGGAGGGGAGGAGGAGAGAAGAAATCCGCTGGAAATCGAGTGGATCCTTTTGGGAGGACGAGCGGAGCGACATCCATTCACGGAGAGGCTCAATCAACGTTGGCAGATCAAGGCGTGCAGCATATCTTTGGAAAGCCCTCAACATGATCTACAATAGTTGCCTCGGGGTCGTTACAAATTGACAAGCGGATCGGACGCAATTCGCGAAATATAGTTGGCGGACGAATTGGAAAATCGCGAATCGGGGAAGATTTAAAGCGCGGGAAATGGATTGGAGAGAAGATTCCAAGAGAGGAGGACAGGGCGCATCCAACAAGCAAAAAATTGGGAGAAACGGGCGAGTCTTCGTCGACGGAAAATCGGCCAACTTCGACGAGTTTAAGCGGCCAGCTCGGACGCGGGATCCAGGAGCGCGATACACCATCAGAACGGCTCGGAGCAAGGATTCATCTGAATCAAACGGCTCATCATTCGGAGGTTCGAGCGCAGAGTTACGTTCCAATAACAAAGAGGGTGTGAATCTGCCGCATCATCTTCACCGTCACCGCCGTTCCCTCCACCACCACCTCAATGTCAATCTTCAGTGCTTCTGCCGCAAATGGATCATGACTCAGGCGAAGGGAAGTTGGAGAGTGCACCAAAGTTCGACGGGAGCGACTATTGGACTTGGAGCTTCCGAACTTCCGAATGATGAGCCGTTTGATTCAGATGAGTCCTTCCAAACTTGGTACTTGGCTGCAGGAGGGAAGGAGGAGGTTGAGGAGTGGATGATTAGGGTAGTCAAAGGACTACCTCCTCACTTTGAGATGCTGAAGGTAGTGTTGAACAACCAATCACCATCGCTTACTAAGAATCAGCTGCTTACCTCTTTGACGAGCGAGGAGATGCGGATCGGTGTCGCGCCAAGATCGGATGGTGTAGCCACTTTTGGACCGGTACGAAAGTGGGCAGCATCGGCAGGGGAAATTGGGACAAGGGAGGAAAGCATGGAGGCACCGGTAACAGTAGCGGCACCAACTCGGGCAGATGGGGTCAGGGGAAAGGCAAAGCAGGAGTGCTTGATCTCCCTTGGGGGTCCAAGGGCATGGCTCCTAGGGGGTTGTGTCATGGCTGTTGGGATGAGGTACATGCATGGCAACGATGCCCTCACTGACCTAAGGGAGGCATTCCGACATTCTCACAGCGGGGGGGTCTTGGGTCCAACAGCAAGGCACAGGTGGTGGATGAGGAGGAGCAGGATGACAAGGCAGAGGTAGCGGCTGGAGAGGCAGTTGCAGCAGTAGGAGGGGAGCAGCCACAAGAGGGGTGGTGGATTGACAGTGGAGCCAACCACAACTTTACTCCTTTTGCCTCAGACTTCAAGAGTAAGCTTGAGCCACCTGAAATTCGGGGAGTTCGATTAGGAGATGGATGGGTGGTGAAAGCTGTTGGCATGGGTGAGGTGCTAGTGGTTGGTGCTGGAGGTCAGCTGCTGAGGATTCAAAAGGTCCACCTTGTGCCTGAGGTGCACACATGTTTGCCGTCAGTCCCGCACCTCACTTCTCGGAATGTCATTGTCACATTCCAGGGCAAGAGATGTGTTATCAAACGGGGGGGGAGGGTGTTGGCGATTGGAGAAAAGGAGGGGGGAAGGGACCATGGTTTGGTGCGGATGTCTCTTCCTCTTGCTCGAGGTACACAGGGCAATGCTCTTGCAGCTAGATCATCCTCCTAATTTTCCGCATTGACCCTTGCTCACCACCGCCTTGGTCATACCGCCCCCACGACACTTCAACGGATGGCTCGGGGGAACAGTGTACTAGGCTTGGAGATTGGGGTGGGGAGCACTGATTTCTCTCCATGTGAGCCTTGCTTATTGGGAAAGTCGGCTCGAAAGTCGTTTCCCCATAGGCGTCTCGGGCACTTGGACCTTTGGATGAGGTCCACATGGACTTGTGGGGGCCAGTGCGTACACCGTCACTGGGAGGAGCGGTGTATGTCCTCAGCCTCATTGACGACTTCACCAGACGAGTTTGGTCGTTCCCACTCCCCAACAAGGAATCAGCCACAGTTGCAAAAGTTTTTCGACAGTGGCATAAGGACGTGGAGTTGGAGCGTGGGCGGAAGCTGAAGGTTGTTCGCTCAGACAGGGGTGGCGAGTTCTTGGGGGACGCTGTGAAAGCATGGAAGGAGGAGTTTGGCATTAAAACTCAATTGAGCGTCGCGGATACACCGCAACAGAATGGGGTCGTTGAGAGGTGGCACATGACGATGGTAGAGGGGATTCGCACATTGTTGGTCGACAATGGTCTCCTTACTCGCTTGTGGGGTGAGGCATTGATGTGGGTCGTGTGGGTTAAGAACAGGGTCACCCACAGTACTTTCCCTACCTCCATCACACCAATGGAGGCATGGTCCGGCCAGAAGCCGCATGTGGGCATGGCTCGGATTTGGGGTTGCATGGGGAGTGTCATGCTGCATGGGCATGAGAAGGGTGGCAAGCTTGATGCACAGGCTATCATGTGTGTCTGTGTTGGGGTGGACATGGAGAGCAAGGGTTGGCGCATGCTGGACCCTTCTCTCATGCGCATTCACATTGCTCGGGATGTTGATTTTCTTGAGAATGTGATGTGGAAGAATTGGGACAAGGCAAAGAAATTTGGGGAGCTTCTGCAGGATGCACCTGAGATTTCCCAGCTCCTCCCTCTTCCAGTCTCGCCACCCTCAGCAGCGGTTGACGACGCTGAGATGCCACCTTCATCACCGCCACCGGCACCGCTGAGTGTGTCGGTGCAGCAGCAGCCCACCCCTCTGCAGCAGCTCAGTGGCCCCTCGGTCATTCAGCGGAGATCTGCTACATAGGCTTCTTCCTCTTCCTCCTCCTCTGGTCAGCGCTTTGTCACTCTCTCGACGAGTGCACCTACGTCACCCGCGACTACCTCCCCCCCACTGGTTACGGGTTTGCAAGTGCTTGGTATCCAGTCTGGTACAGGTGGTGAGGAGGTAGGGGGGAATGCTGGTGTGGTTGAGGGCATGCTGTGTTTGGCCAGGGAGGTGGAGGGTGTTGCACTAGCAGGTGTGAGCACATGTGATGTCCCACACATACTCGCTGAGGCACTGCGTGCCTGCGTGGAAGGCAGTTGCTGAGAAGGAGGTGAATGCAATGCGCACTATGGGTGTATGGGATCCAGAGCCGGTCGACTTACCTCCAAGTAGGAAGGCCATTGGGGTCAAGTATGTTTTTTGCAGGAAAACTGACAAGGAGGATAAGGTGGTACAGCACAAGGTTCGTGTTGTTGCTAAGGGGTATACCCAGGAGCCCGAGAAGGACTATGATCAGGTATTTGCCCCTGTGGGCAAGCTCACCTCAAGTCGGGTGCTTCTTGCAGAAGCTGCGGTAAAAGGGTGGCATGTATAACAGGAGGATGTTGATCATGCTTACCCCAATGCAGTCCTTCAAGAGGAGGTGTATGTGAGGCAACCTGAGGGATTTGATTATGTTACAGGTAGGGTGTATCGCTTGCGCAAAGCTCTCTATGGGCTCAAGCAAGCGCCTCGTGCTTGGAATGAGGAGATTGGTACCACCCTGATTGCAGCAGGGTTTGACCGCAGTGCATGCGATGAGGCTCTGTACATCATGTTTGTGGATGAAGAGCCAGTGTATGTGTTGGTTTATGTGGATGATCTCTTGCTTGTGTCTCCACGCTTGGAGCTGATCGGTCAGGTCAAGGAGGTGCTTGCTCAGAGGTACCAGATGAAGGATCTAAGTGAGGTATCCACGTACCTTGGTGTAGAGGTTCGTAGGTCGGTCAAGGATGGGTGGTTGGAGATTGGTCAGGAGAAGTATATCCGTGGTCTCCAGGGATGGTTTGGTGATCTGCTGAAGGAGACACATAGGTTGCACACTCCAATGTCACCCAATGAGCTCTCTAAGATCAGGAATGGTACTTGGTCGAGTGAGGAAGGTGCTGCAGCTGATGTCAAGGTGTACCAGAGTTTCATTCGCAGCTTGATGTATGCTGCTGTGACTACCCGTCCTGACATGTCCTTCACTGTCAACACCCTTGCACAGTCCTGTGTGGCACCAAGACGCATTCACATGCGCGCTGCACTGAGAGCACTCAGGTACTTGGTCGACACAGCTGATCGTGTCATCAGGTATGGACGCCAAGGTGGTGAGCAGGTTGTTGGGTACATCGACTCGGATTGGGGTGGTGAGACTGATGGCAAGAGTCGCTCTGCCTACATCTTTAAGTTGGGAGGAGGAGCTATCAGCTGGTATAGCAAAAAGCAAGACAGTGTTGCAGCAAACGTTTCTGAAGCCGAGTATAAAGCTCTATCGGAGGGGGCCAAGGAGGCCATTTGGTTGAGGAGTTTGTTGGCAGAGATGCATGTGGGGGATGGGGGGGCTATTTCATTGCTCTGTGATAAGGCTGCTGTCTCCCTTGCCCACAATCCCGTTCTCCATCAGCGCACCAAGCACATTAAGGTGGCATGACACTTTGTATGGGATGCGGTGCGCCAGCAGGAGGTCGAGGTGCACTCAGTACGCTCCCACTTCCAGGATGCCGACATGCTCACCAAAGCTCTCCCAAGCTTGCAGCTGCTGAGCGCATCGGCGTGCGAGTGATGGCTGCAAAGGTTCATTCGCTGGAGGGGTTGTGTTTTGATTTATGGGTGAACTTTAATGCTTATTGGAGCAAGGGGGGGTGATGGATTTAAGGTTAATTCGGGTTGCTCCAATAAACATATGTAGTGATAGATCTACACTATAGTAGTGTAGAATACATTGGTTGGGTTGGGAAAACTTGTGGTGTACACTCTTTAGAGTGGACCACCTCCCAAACCCTATAGGTTAGGGTTCTCTCTAGTTGGAACTTCATTTCTTGGAAATCACTTTGGTTCTAGCATGGTTCATTCCCAAGTTGGCTAATAAGATTCCTAGGATTTAGGAGGAGGTTCTAAGACTACTATAGCTTCCGCTAGTAGCTTAGACGATTCTAACAGACACAGATGACTGTACACCCGTTTTTTCAATCGAACGGCAGGGGGATGTGGTTTCGATGTACTTGATTCTTTCCCTCGCGAAATTGGGATCTTCGGGTGTCCAGGTGCATGTGGTCGTGTCGAGCATTTCAAGTCGCGTGTGATTTGTTAACAATGATGAGTCGATTCGCGATTCGTCAATGACGTCAGCGCGTTTCACGCTGACCAAATAAAAATACAGTAATGGTCACTGAAAGGCGACTCGCATCTCCGACACAATACATCTTATGTCTTTCTTGGGTGTCACAAAATGATTGAGACACTTGTGTCCGCACACGTATGTTCACTTAGTGTAACTGTTGGCATCTGATTCAATAGCTTAAGCAAGATACAATACAACTAAATAAGCTGTACATCTTACCGCAGAAGGATAGGTCATTGAGGTTGCACCCACACCATAGATAGGACAACTCTCAAATGCATCATTCTGTCATACGTATAGCGGCACACCTCAAAGGAACACTACCAATAATCCAGACAAGGTTGATGATCAGGACCTCTCTATACACATCATATTTCAAACAGCCTAAGCTGTGTAATAGAGAAATGGCTTTCAGCTCGTGAGCATCTAGTCAGGCCTTGTAAGCTTACAAAAGTGCCCCTGTGTGAACAAACAAAGACAATAACTTGTAAGCAATTTAAATGCGAAGGCGCCTTGGTTTGAAGCTCGGCTCATTGCCTTCCCCACTTCTACAGCAAAGCAGATAAAGTGGCTGCTTGTGACCTGATCCAATGCATCCCAAACTTGCATCTGCGATTCACATGCAGTATGAAGCAGTACAAGACAGTGTGACAAGTAGTATGAAGCAGTGCAACGAGAAGTACGAGGGAGTGTGATGCACGATAGAGTCTCTGGCACCACTGTTAGCCGAATCCAAACTGATACTAGATATATAAAAGAATAATGTAGCACGTAAATGGGAGTGCAGCTTACCTTGCAATGGCAGAAGGGACACTACTCCTTTGTATCAAGAGGACCCTTGGAGAGCTTGTGATAGAGCATGAAGAAGTGGAAGGTTAAAACAGTTCATAGGTGGTTCAGAGCACAACCCCGCTTCGCCCGGATTCGACTATTGTTAGAAGGACAAGCGAGGACGGCAGTGGGGAAAGACGAGAGCATGCGAACAGTGAAATACGCTAGCATGACGGAGGTCAGCATCTGGAGGGCCACACCGACGCTTGTAATCGTCGGGAAAATCAGAGGCACAATGGGCTCGCCAAAGTCGCGGCTGCTCCAGTCGCAATTGTGCAGGGGAGGGTGGACAGTCGAGCTAACGCAGCTGAGGAGAGCGATCAAACCCCAAATTTCTCAACCGAAACAACAGGAGCGGTGGGAGGAGGAATGGGGGAGATAGATACGGTGGAAAAAGGTGATTGCAACAAGGGACTCTTTGGCGACACCGGTCAGGGCGAACGAAATAATCTTACGAGCGCACAGCAGCAACTTACAAGTGGGGGAGAGGCTGCCCTGGTTGGGTCCGAGGGCCAACTGTGTACAATGCGGGAAGCTTGAAACACTCAACCATTGTCTCTTCAGCTGCCCGAGAATACAGTTACAGTTGGTCACTACAGAGGTGTAGAGAGCAGTCCAGCGGATGAACTCAGACATGGCGGCGAGGTCGGTTGGAGACCTACTGTTCCAAGACACATGCAAGTGCGGGAAGCGTGGGAAAGGAGCCAGTGACGTGAAGAACCAGTCCTTCCGTAAGCACGCCGGCTCACAGAAGCACAAGCTGGCGATGTCAAAAGTGGCAGATGCAGTAGTGGTAGGAGATGCTGCATTTTATAGCAATGATGATCCACTTGCATGAGTAGAGTAGATAATGCACGTCGCATGGATGTATTGTATTGTGCCTTACAGTACTGCATTAACCAAGGCCAACAACACACCCTGAATCAGAGTTCTCACTGGTGCAAACTCTGAATGATCAGACCTTTTTATTTTGGTTTGACCCTCAAATTTCAGCCTTTTTTTTTTTACCAACTCTGATTGATCAGACTAATAACGTGTACCAAGTCTGATGAATCAGACAGCCCAAAAACGAATCTGAGGGCCTGTAAGGGAGGGTAGTATGTAAGCAGGAACTGCAAATCACGGACTGTTATAAATTCAGCACACTGCAGATTCAAACACTTGGAAAAAACTTCATATTATTGATCACCGGTACTCTACACATATCATCTTCCGAACAGACTGAACCTTTGCAATACAGAAATAGCTAACAACTTGTGAGCATCTAGTCGAGCCTCGGCATTTTTAACACTCCACAGAAGTGTCCCTGCACAAAAGGAAGAAACAACAACCACGAAAATACTCAAAACGTGAAGGCGCAGTGGTTTTCTATCTAGAGTCATTGCTCCGCCCACTTCACCACACCAACACAATGTCTACGCAGAGTTTCTCACATCTGCGTAACTCTCTGCAGAATTTCTCACATTTGTGCATACGGCAAAGCAGATTGGCTTGAAGCAGCTGCTTGCAACCTGACTCAATGCATTCCAAACCTGCATGTGCAATTCACGACGAGAAATATGAAGCAGTAAGCTGCTAGCTGTATCCATCTAGTACAATATACAAAATGAACAGTGTGGCGCATGATTGGATTGCTACTTACCTTGCAATAGCATAAGGGACACTGCTCCTTCGTATCATGAGGATGTGCGGAGAGGTCGTGATAGAGCCTGCAAAATTGGTAAAATCTTGCTTCGTCAGAAGTCAACAGCTGACAAGCGAGGAAGGGAGAGGGTATTGTCCAAAGAAACAAGGCAGCTATGTGTTTGCACCTGGTGAACATTAAGGCAGGAATGTGGGACGGCAAAGGGGGAAAGGGAAGGATAGAAAGTCAAGAAAGGCCGTGCCAAAGAGGGGGTGAGGGAGGTGCAAGGAAGAGAGAGTCTGTTGATTAAGCACCTGGTGTGTGTGAAGGCAGAAACGTAGCCACGGCAAACGGACAGACCCCACCAATTGACAGGTGGCTTAAGCAGAACAAACGACACTCCTGCCACCTCCGCAGCTCGAGAGGAGCAGTTAGCAGGGGGATGACAGGCAGTTTCAGAGTGACAGTCAGCAGGGGGAAGACAGTCAGTTTGGGAGTGGCAGTCAGTTGGAGCGTGATAATCAGCTGCTGGAGCACCAGAGGCAGCACAAGCTCTCAACAGGCTCGGCCGAAAGAGCTGGTCTGCGCTGAGCGTAACATTATTCGAGAAGCTTTCGTCTAGACGGCCGAACAGACCCAAAAACCGCCTGTTCAGCATGTAATGTGTCCTCACTCTCTTCATTGCTTTCCGCCCTTCTCCCTGCAGAAACCATGCGTTGCCCGTGGCGGTGACTCCCTCAGCCACATGCAGCTGACGTACTAGTTCCCTCTCTCCATTGCCCCTGGGTTTGTCTGCACATCCAGCTGCTGCTACTGTGACCAACTGTCCAACGGTATCTACATTTGGTAGATAATGCCTGGGAACTAGGGTTCTCTGGTTGATGCCTCCACGTGCTACTGCTACAACTGGTGCTGTGGTCTGTCGTGCTGCTTCAGACACCGTACCTCTCTCTTGTGCCTCTGCTGCTGCTGCTGCTGCAGCTTCTGCTTCTTCTGTAGCTACTATTGCTGCTGCTACTGCTGCTACTGCTGTTGCTTCTGTACTTAGCAGAAAACCCCCAGCTATCCGCAGCCCTCCCTTGAAAGCTTCACGAGCAGCACGAGAAACACAGAGAACCTTTTTCCTGGCAGAATGGCAAGCACAACGACAGCCATTCCCGGCACAGCGGCAAAGAAACCGAGAGCCCTTGACTCTTAGATACATTGGGATCAACAGAAGAACGAGCCCTACCAATGCAGCCTTGGCCACAGTGCGGTAGCTCCACTTTTGAGATGCCTTGAAAGCCCACCCCACCGCAGTCACCACACGCTTGCACATGCTTGACAACGTCATGAGGGGTCCCACGTCAGCAGCAGCAACTGTGTCAGCTTCGATTTCTTCTCGCGTTTCAGCTTCGATTTCATCTCGCGTTTCAGCTTCGATTTCATCTCGCGTTTCAGCTTCGATTTCGAGTCGGGTTTCAGCTTTGATGAAATTCTCTGGTGGGACCGCCGGGGCTGGCTGAGCACGTCGGCGTAGTAGGTGCCGTTGCCGTCCTGACGGCCAAAGATACAGATCCATGATGTCTGGAGAGGCCAGGCTGAAGGGTACCTCGAGAATACCGGGAGAGTAGCTGAGAAGCCGCGGAGAAATTGCCTCGACAGGACCTACCAGTGCTTCGATTCCCGGGACCAGTGGGCGATCTCTCTTACAGGCAGCACACACGTGAGAAAAGCAGCAACTGTTGCTCTCAGTTGCAGTAAAAGATCGTTCCTGTGTCGAGATCTTATTGGTTGGATCAATCTGTAAATGACTAGACCTGTGATGTTCCCGTATGCGGATGTGGCAGTAGCGAGGCCAGAGGTGGGAAATTGATATCCGGTGCAGGTGCTTGCAGGTGATGGCTAGGTTGGCAATGGTGACTGGAAGATGATGGCATGTCATACTCGTTATAGACGCAAGGATTTCGGGAGTCAGATCCAGCAACCCGGTAAGCCGCTCTTTAGTAGCAGCCGTGTTGTTCTCCATTCATGCACTCTTAGGAAAGCCAGAGAGATGAAGTAGAACTGGGCGGGTTACCTGATTGTCACACTCCTCTGTCCGTGTGCTAGAAGCATCATACGCCATTCATCGCGGAAAATGAAGTAGGCAAAAACGGCGAAGGGCTTCCTGATGACTATCCTGATTCAGGGATTATTGGCTATAGGTTTTAACGCTTCTGGGCGATGTCACATACGGTATGAATGGGTAGTCAGCTTCGAATCAATATTTGAATCCTTTCGTGATGTCTCGCAACGGTGCCTTTCGATCATAAATTGTTTAGGTCTGCCTGTCTTTGGCTGAAATTAGGAGACTTTTGACCATTGCGATCGAAAACTCGCTGGGACTAATCTCCAGAGTGGACTCAGCGGGTCGACACAGAACTCAACGATTTGTTGACCTAGCCGTTGAGAGTTGAGACGAGAGAGTGTGAAAGCAAAGGATCGAGAAGCTGGATTGACTCCCGAGAGCAATGCGAAATCGAGCGACACATCTAAACTCACGCGGCACACAGCAACTCGTGGAGAAAGCATGACTGCTAGTGCGTGAGGCATGCTTGCGGGTGAAACCTGCAAACTTGCGCGACTGGTAGCGACCGGTTGGAGCAGGAAACTTTGACTATTTGGTTGTGACTAGTGGGTGACAGCATAGGGACTAGACTTCCAAATACCAGTGGTACGGAATTCTGGTTCAGGGGACTTTGACACAGTAGTATGTGAAGCGAAGAATTGACTGGAGAAGAAGCGCCGAGAAACACTCGATATAGATGCGAATGCGAATCAAATGCTAAAAGTCGCACAGTAACAAACTTATATGTACGTACTTACTCTACTTCTATGCAAAACAAACTTCATTGTAGATGGTACAGGACTATCTTGACAATCTAATCCATGGCACAGCATCTTCACTGTATGATCAGCAATTCAGAGGGTGCACGTGTACCTAACATGGCTCATGTTGAAAGAATGAATGTAAACAATAGTGAGACAGCCCCTATACTATAGAACAGGTACCCTATGGTTCCCAAGAGTTCCCCTCGTGCCATTCACTGCACAACTGCTTTGCTTTGATGGCTGATGGCTTGATGTTGTTCCCAACAGGCGACGGCATGGCCAATTTCACTCTCAGCTTCAAAGTCTCTGCCTCCACCTCCTCAACCCTATCCCGTATGCTGTATACCTGCTGGGATCTTTGAAAGCTCATTTCACAACCCCAAGCTCGCTCGCCCCTTCACTGCAACTGCTTTGCTTTGATAGCCGACGGCTTGATGTTGTTCCCAGCAGGTGACGGCACGGCCCACTTCACTCTCAGCTTTGCAATCTCCGCCTTCACCTTATCCCTCTCCCTTATTCACTGCAGCTACCCTTGCTCATAGCTCTCCCCTTGCTACTCACTGCAACTGCTTTGCTTTGATAGCCGACGGCTTTATGTTGTTCCCTGCAGGTGACGGCACAGCCCACTTCACTCTCAGCTTTGCAATCTCTGCCTTCACCTCATCCCTCTCCCTTATTGCTGCCCCTATTTGCTGCTGCGCCTCGGTCAGTGATGCTTGCATGCGCTGCTTTGCTCGCTCCAAAGCTTGAATCCTGGAAAAGGGTGAAGAAAGTGGAGGTAGAAATGCAGGGTGAAGTGGGGAGAGAAAGGGGAGTTGGGATGGAAGGAGGGAAAGGATAATCTTCACCCGCTGTTTTGCTCACTCCAATGCTTGAATCCAAGTGTAGGGGCGATAACAGACAACACTTGTGGTGGAATAGGCACACTCGAAAATGTACATGCCACTCTCGCTCACTCACTCACTCCCTCCCTCCCTCACTAACTGCTGTTGCTCCCACTCGGTGCTGCTGCTCTCACCTGTTTCGTGCCTCAAAGACATTGGACGACTCAGATTGCAGCTTGGCTCTCAAATCAGCGATCTGGATGGATTGAAATGGAAAGTAGGGATGGGAGGGATGGAACGGGGTGTGAAGTGGTGGGATACGGTGGGGTGAGATGTCACGGGATTGCGGGTTGGCTCTCGTCTCAGCGACCTTGATGGAGTGAGTTGGGAAGCAGGGACGGGAGGAAATGGGACGGGGTGTGGAGAGAGGAGGTGTGGGATGGGCCGGGGGGTGCAATGCGGTGGGCGGGATTTCGGGTTGAGCCCCCAAATCAGTGACCTGGATGGAGTGAAATGGGAAGCAGGGAGGTGTGGACATGAGGGGGGTGGGGGGGGGTGCAGTGGGATGGGATTGGATTAGGATGAAATGGCAGTGACGTGTTTTAAAAGGACAGGAACAAATACTTGACAGCCAGCACACCTCTGTATCCCTCTCCACCCCTCACTCCATCCCCCTCTGAATCACCTTCACCTGCTTCTTTTCCACCCACCCCGATCCAATCAACCCTCTCCACCCCTCGCGTTCCATTGTATCCTGCCTCGCCGCCCCTTGCTGCTACACCAAGCCTTTCACAGCCAGCCCACGAAAGTCAATCCAAGAACGACAACCCACCTGTTTGCCCCAATCTATTACTCTCTCTCTCTAATGCCTCCTGCCTCGCCGCCCCTTGCTGCTCCTCCGCCCTCATACACCCTTTCTCCTACAGGCCATATACACACCTCTCCTTATCCCACCAAGCCCGTAAGTCAACCCACCTGTTTGCCCCAGTCCATAACTCTCTCAAACGCCTCCTGCCTCACTGCCCCTTGCTGCTCCTCTAGCTTCTTCATCTCCTCCCGTCCTCAACCACCCGCCCACCCACCCGCCACAGAAACCAGCACACCACCAAACTCACTCCAGCAAACCCACGCAAGCCAGCCCACCTGTTTGTCCCGATCCATTACTCACTTTAATGCCTCCTGCCTCGCCGCCCCCTGCTCCTGGCTTCTCCTCCTGGCTCTAGCACCCACCCGCCCAGTACCCACCCGCCCAGTACCCACCCGCCCGGCACACAAAACCCCTTGACTGCCAACCTAGGTAAGGCAACCCACATAAGCCAGCCCACCTGTTTGTCCCGGTCCATTACTCTCTCCAATGCCTCCTGCCTCGCTGCTCCTTGCTGCTCTCCCTCCCCCAACACCCTGCCCCGACAGGCCATATACACACCTCTCCTTATCCCACCAAGCCCGTAAGCCAGCCCACCTGTTTGTCCCGATCCATTACTCTCTCCAATGCCTCCTGCCTCGCTGCTCCTTGCTGCTCTCCCTCCCCAACACCCTGCCCCGACAGGCCATATACACACCTCTCCTTATCCCACCAAGCCCGTAAGCCAGCCCACCTGTTTGTCGCGGTCCATTACTCTCTCCAATGCCTCCTGCCTTGCCGCCCCTTGCTGCTCCTCAAGCTTCTTCATCTCCTCCTCCCTCACCGCACACACCATGTCCAGCATCCGAATGCGGTCCGAATGATGCTGTGGATAGGTAGGGAGGGACGGACAGCGGGAGGGAGATGGAAGGAGTGGGGAGAGGGGAGATGTAGCGACGCAGGGGGTTTAGGTGGGTTCTTCCTGTCCTCCCTCACCGCACACACCATGTCAAGCTTTCAAATGCGAATCGCGTGGTGCTGTGGATGGGAGAATGGGGAGGGGGAGAGAAAGGGGAGTTGGAGAAGGGGGAGAGAGGCAGGATTGTAAAGAGTGGAGTGAGTTGGAGAGGGAAGACTTTTGAGTCGACTCAGAAGGGGGAGAGAGGCGAAATTGTAGAGAGTGGCGTGGGTTTGAGAGGGAAGGCAAGAGTGGGGTTGTGGAGAGGGGGGTATGGCTTCTCTCCTCCTCACCTTCACAGTCGCCTTGGCCTCGTCCAGTTGCGACGACAGCTCAGCAATCTGCCCCGCGCGCACCGCCAGCTCCTGATTCGCCAGCGCCAGCTCAGCGCGCTTCTCCGCCACGTCGCCCTCGGCCTCCGCCACCCTGGCAGCCGCCCTTGCCGCCACGTCATCCCTCTCCCTCTCCACCTCATCAACGCGCCTCTCCGCCTCTCCAATCCTCTCCCTCAACCCCTCAATCCGCCCTTCCAAAACCTCTTTTTCCTCCTCCAACCCCTTCTTACTCCCTTCCAAACCCACAACCAGGTCTTTAAGCCCCAAAATCTCCTCTCCCTTCTCACATAAAACCTTCTCTTTCGCACTTAAATTCTCATTTACTTCCGCCAATCGCCCCACCATCTCCTCTTGCAGTGCCTCCTTAGCTGTCTGCAAGCTCACCACCAAATCCTGAAGCCCCTGAATAATCTCCTGCTTCTCTCTCAGAGTACTCTCTTTCCCTCTAAGGCTCTTCTCTGCTGCACCCAATCGACTCTCCAGCTCAGCAGCCCTCTCCTCTTGCTGCTTCCCATACCTTCCCGCAAGCTCCAACTCCCCCCTTACCCTCTCCAACTCCTCCCTGGTTCCCTCCAGTTCCCTTTCGCTCTTTTCCAGATCGTTCCTTGCAGTTTCCAGGTTGCTTCTTGTGGTCTCTAGAGCTCTGATCCTGCCCTCTAGCTCACCCCTCACCCCCTCAAGCTCTCCTTTCTTCTTCTCCAACTCTTTTCTCTTCTTCTCTACCTCTCTTTTCACCGCACTCAACTCCTCGCTAACACATCTCATTTCACCTCGCAACACCTCTGCTTCTTTTCTTGATACCTCCAGATCTCGTTCCCTTTCTTCCAATTCCTGCTTTAGCTCCTTCTCCTTCTCCTCTCCTTCCCTCTTCGTTCCATCCCTCTCTCTCTCCACTCTCACCCTCTGCTCCTCCTCTCTCTTCCTCTCCCCCTCTATTCTCCCACACTCCTCCCTCACTCTCTCTAACTCCTCCCTCACCTGTGCAACCTGCTTTTCTAGCTCTCTCTCTCCCTCCCTCACTTCCCCCAGCAGCTGCAGAAGCTCCACTTTCTCCCTTTCCTGCCCCTCCACCCGCTCTCTCAACCGCTCTGCATCGGACTCGACCTGATTCAACCGTTCCTCCAACTCGCTCCCTCTCTCCTCCCCATTCCTCACTCTCTCCTCCGCACCACCCAGTGCCGCTCTCAACCCCTCCAACTCAACCGTAGCTTGCTGCAAATCACTCGATACTCTCCCCACCTCGCTCCTCTCTTTTTGCAACTCCTTTGAAACTCGCTTCAGCTCACTTGATACTCGCTCCATCTCACACCTCTCTCGCTTCAACTCACTTGATACTCGCTCCATCTCACACCTCTCTTGCTCCAACTCACCAGAAACCCTCTCCACTTTTCCCAACGCTTGCTCCTTCTCCTCTAAGACCCTTGCAACCTCCCCCTGAAGCTTCTCCTCCTCTCTTCTCAACACCCCCACCTCTTCGTCAAGCCTCTTCCTCTCTCCCTCCACCCTTCCCAACTCCTCTTTCATTCTCTTTCTCTCCTCTTCCCCTGCTGCTATCAACCCACACTGCCTCTCCACCTCTTCACTCACCACACCCATCCCCATCCTCGCCTCCTCTCTCTCCTCCTCAGCCCTTCTCAGCCTCCCTTCCAAACCCCTCTTCTCTGCTTCTGCTGCTGCAAGCATCTCCCTTACTGCCCCCACCTCCCCTCTCAGCTCCTCCCTTTCCCTCTCTACAGCCACCTTCCCCTCTCTAAGCACACCAGCTTCCCTCGTTATAGTCTCCTTCTCTTCCACAACACTACCCAGCCTCCCTCTCAGCTCCTCCCTCTCTCCTCTCAACCGCTCCACCTCTCCTCGTAACCTCTCCACCTCCTCCTGTGCTGCTGCAACCTCCCCTTGCACAACCCCTACCTTCTTTCTAGCTTCATCCCTCTCTTCTCTCAACCTCTCTCCCTCGCCTCTCCTACGCTCCACCTCTCCTTGTGATTCCTCAAGCTGCCCTTGAACATTCCTCAACTCTTTCCTCAGTCCCTCACCCTCTTCCCTCAACCGCTCTCCCTCTCCCCCCAGCCATTCCACCTCTCCTCCTAACCGCTCCACCTCTCCCCTCAGCCTCTCCGCCTCCTCATGCGCTGCTGCCCGGTCTGCCTGAACAGCAGCCAGGTCCTCTGTTGTGGCCGCCAGGTGCCTCGCAATCCCGCTCAGGTGCTCGTCTTTCGCGCCCACCTGCCTCTCTGTTGCCGCCAGGTGTTTTTCCAGGTCCGCCAGGTGCTCCTTCAGGGCGGCGGATTCCAACCTGGCGTCACTTAGCGCCTGCTCAGACACACTCAGAGACTCCCTTGTCCTCTCTAAAGCATCCTGCGACTCGCTATAAGCCACCTGCGCTTCACTCAAAGCTATTTGCAAGCCGGCAATATCCCTCTCCCGTTCCCTTACCTCCGCCTTTAAACCATCCGCCTCCTTCCCCCCCTTCCGCACCTGCTCTTTCAAATTCTCCACTGCTCTTTCCCTCTCTGCCGCCACTGCTTTCATCTCCCCCACCTTCCTCTCCCTCCCTTCCAATCCACTCTTCAACTCTCTAATCTCCTCTCCCTTGCTCCTCACATCGGCCTCAATGCCTTCAACCACCCTCTCCCTCCCTTCCTCTCTGCTCTTCAACTCACTAATCTCCTCTTCCTTCCCTCTCAACCGCGCTGCAAACCCTTCAATCGCCTCCTCTTTCTCCTTCAGTTTCCCTTCCAAAACAGCAATCTCTTTCCCCCTCCCTTCCATCCTCTCCCTCATCTCCCCTATCTCCTTTTCCTTCTCTCCCAATTGCTTTTCCATCTCAACCACCCTCCTCTCTCTCTCCTTCCCTTCTCTCTCCATCCTTCCCAACTCTCTCTCCTTCTCCCTCATCCCTTTCTTCAGCTTCCCTATCTCCTGCTGCACCTGAGAAACCACCTGAGCCTTCTGCAGAATCTCCTGGGCTTTTGTTGAAATCTCCTGAGCCCTCTGCTGCAGGGTCCCCTCCAGGTCCTTCACTCGCCTCTCCTTCTCGCCCACCCTCTCCTCCAACTCACTCTTTTGTGACTCTAACGAAAGTACTTTCTTCTGCATCTCACTTGTTTGTGACTGTAACAGAAGCACCTGCCGTTCCATCTCTCCCTTCTGTGACTGCAACAAACGCACCTCCGTCTCAGCCCCAGCAGCCCTCGTTTCAATCACACCCTTGGCTTCCTCAATCTCACGCTTCTCCCTTTCGATACAAGCACACTTCCTCTCAACCTCTTCCCTCTCTGCAGTCACAATTGCCAGTCTCTGTTCAACCGCCCATTTCCCTTCCATCACACTATCCCTCTCCCTCTCTCCCTCCCCTCTCTCCCTCACTACCTCATCCAACCTCCTCTCTAGCTCCCCCTTACTCTTCATCATCTCATCTACCCTCCTTCCTATCTCCTCCCTCTCTCTCCGAACCTCCTCTATCCACCTTTCCGTCTTCCCTTTCTCTCTCTCAAGCCCCCTCACTCTCTCCTCCAACCTCCCTTTCTCACTCACCACTCCATCCCTCTCCCTCTCCACCTCACCAACCACCTCCCTCCACCTCCTCCCCTCCTCCTCCAATTCCTTCTCCCTCACTTGCAATTCCCTCACTCTACCCTCCACCTGTCTCAACCGTTCATCACCCTCCGTCACCCTCCTCTCTGCCGCCTCCTTTCCTTCTTCAGCCCTCTTCTCTCGCCCTATGGCCTCCTCCCTTTCCTTTACAGCTCTGTCTCTCTCCTTCACTGCTCGATCTCTCTCCTCTATAGCTCTCTCCTTATCCTCTCTGATCCTATCCCTCTCTTCCACTGCTTCCTTTCGCTCTGACTCTACTCGCCTCTTCGCCCTCTCGGCCCGCTTTTTCGCCTCTTCTGCTGCTGTTTTTTCCTCCTGTGCCCGCTTCTTTGCATCTTCTGCCGCTGCCCTCTCCTCCTCTGCCCGCTGCAACCTTTCTTCTGCCCGACATCTTCCCTCCTCAGACTCTCTCCACTTCACCTCCATCTGCCTCCCCTCTCTCTCCCTCTCCTCAGCCATCTCTCTCTCCTTCTCCCTCGCCCTTTCCCTCTCCCTCTCCCTCTGCTGCTCTGCCCTCCCTTCCAGTTCACACTGCAAAGCCTTCAAACGCTGTAGCGAATCAGCTTTTAACAATTCCAGCTGAAGAGAGGGGGGCAAAAGGGGAGAAAAGGGGTTGAAGGGAACGAAAGTGAGACTGGAGATGCAACAAGAAAGTCTTGGAGAGAGAAACGAAAGTGGGATATCAAGGACCATTTGAGTCTCTCTCCAAGACTCTCTCTTGTTGCAAGAAAGAGTCTTTCTGGAGATATCTCGAGCGAGAGATATCTGCCCAAGACTCTCTCTAAGAGCAAGCGATGAAGACAGGATTGTCGGCGGGGAAAGAAAAATCTTTCACCCTCTCTTCCCACCCCCTCGTCCTTTCCACTTCTTAACCACTCACACTCACACCCATGCACACTCATACAAACCCATTCCAACCCATCCAAACGCATCCACACCCATCCATTCACCTCTCTCTCTAGCTCCTCGACCCTTCTCACAACAGCTGCTTCAATCCCCGCCCTCCTCCACTGGCTCGGTCCACTTCTCAGCCATCCACACCCATCTAAACTCAATCATACCCATGCACTCCCATCCGCATTCATCACTCACCTCTTTCTCGAGCTCCTCCACCCTTCTCACAGCAGCTGCTTCAATCTCCGCCCTCAGAACCCTCTCCTTCTCCACACTCTCTTCCACCTTGCCTTGTCGGTCACCCCACTTCTCAACCATCAGCACACATCCAAACCCATCCGTACTGCTGCACTCACCTCGTTTTCTAGCTCCTCCACCCTTCTCACGGCAGCTGCTTCAATCTCAGCCCGCAACACCCGCTCCTCCTCCACCCTCTCCGCCACTCGCCTGCCCACTTCTCAACCACCCACACCCATCCACATACCCATCCATAAACATCCACACTCATCCATACCCACCCATACCCCTCCCATCCACACCGCTGCACTTACCTCCCTCTCTAGCTCCTCAACCCTTCGCACGGCAGCTGCTTCAATCTCAGCCCTCAGAACCCTCTCCTCCTCCACCCTCTCCGCCACTCGCCTACTCATCTCCCCCATCGCCTCTGCTGCCTCCTCCGCGCGCTGCTGCTCCTGCTGCACCTGCGCCTGTGGGGGGGGCGGGATGGGGAAAGGGGAATGGGGAGGAAGGGAGGGGGAGGTAGGGGGAGAGAGGGAGGCAGGTTTGCCACTCGCCTGCTCATCTCCCCCATCGCATCTGCTGCCTCCTCCGACCGCTGCTGCTCCTGCTGCACCTGCGCCTGTGGGAAGGGAAAGGTGAGGGATGAGGCAGAAGGCAGGTGCGTTGATAAGGTCACTGGGGAAGGGGGTTTCCCGCGCACAGCAGTCAGCCTCCCCCATTTGTCTCCTCCTCCACCCTCTCCGCCACTCGCCTGCTCATCTCCCCCATCGCCTCTGCTGCCTCCTCCGCGCGCTGCTGCTCCTGATGCACCTGCGCCTGTGGCGAGGGTGGAGGTGGAAAAGAGAAAGGGGAGCGTTCACTTAAACATCAATCCCGAGGAGAAGGGAGGGCGAGGGGAGACTTTGAATGCTGATTCTGCTGTAGCTGACTGTGGGGTGTGAAGGGAGGAAAGATAAGATCAGATCAGAGCAAGGACGGAATCTGAAACAAAATTCTGACTGCTACAGCAACAAAATTCCTGCCCTTCCTCTTGATCGCTCTCCACACCCCCATTCAACCAGCCCTGCCAACCTACCATGGTATGTTTCAGCTCTGATTCTGCAGCAGCAACCTTCCTCCGCAACTCCTCCCCTTCCGCCCGCACCCTCCCCACCTCCCCTCTCTCCTTCTCCAATTCCCCCTGCATCCGCACAACCTCCCCCCTTAACCTCCCCACTTGCCCCTCCACTTCCCCCGCCCTCGCCCTCTCCCCCACCAGCTCTCTCTGTAACCCTTCCAGCTGTTTCTTCCCTGCTGCCAGCTCACTCCGGGCCTCGCTGAGCTGGCGCTGAGTCAGCACCAGCCGCTGCTCCGTCATCTCCAGCCACTGCGTTGCCGCCTTGTGCCGAACCTCCCCGAGCCTATTCCGAGCCTCCGACTCCTTGATCCGAGCCTCCGCGTCCTTGTACCGAGCCTCAGCCTCGGCGTGCCGAGCCTCACACTCCTGCATCTCCTCTATAAGCTTAGCCATGGCGGAAGCATATCCCCCTGTCACATGCGCGCGCCCTATTCCCCCTAAGGGGCTTTTCCGCTTTCCCCCTTCCCCTCCTCCTCCCCCTGCGCCTTCCCCCTTCTCCCCTCCGCCTCCCCCTTCCGCGCCTTTCCCCCTCCCCCCTGCTTCCAGCCGCGCCTGGAAAAGCTCCCCCTGTGTTTCCGCCAGCTGCTTTCTCATCTGCTGCATCCGAGCCTGCGCAGCCTCGTGCCGAACCTCCAGCTCCCGCTGCCGAGCCTCATACTTGTTCAGGTCTGCCTTCAGATCCCTGTTCTGTGCTTCGGCCTCGCGAATCCGAGCCTCAGCGTTGGCATTCCGAGCCTGGGAGTCCTGCAGGCTTGGCAGTAGAGGGGAGAATGCATGGAAGTGTGTACTCGTTATTGCATCCATTTTTTTTTTTAATGTCAAAAGTACTGCAAAAAAACACAGTCTCCTCGTTTTCTCACCTTAAGCTCCTGAGTCAGCTTCGCAACAGCAGAGCTGTTTCCAACCGCTGCACCATCCACACTGCCGCCCACACTGCCGCCCACACTGCCGCCCGCAGTGCTCCCAAACCCACTCGCCAGAATGCTCGACAGACTCAGCTGCTGCTTCGCCCGCCCGCTCACAAACGCACTTTCCAGGAAGCTGCTGCCCCTCATCGCTCCTAACTCCGGGAACTCCCCTTTCCCTTCCCAATCGTGTTCGCCTTTGCCGCCCGAATCGTCTCGTTGGTCCTCCTCGTCCGAGGTGTCCCCCTCACCCTCCCCTTCCCCATCCATGGCTATAGACACGAGGTCTAGAGTCATATCGTCACTCGCGTTGTCGAACTCCTTCCTTTCTCCCTCCTCTCCCCCTTTTTCTTCCCTCTCCCTTTCCCCCTCCCCGTCCCCCTCCCCCTCCATTGCTATAGCTGCAAGGTCTAGACCTCCCATTACTGCCCCTGCCCCTGCCCCTGCCGCTGCTGGTTCTGCTGCTGTTGCCCCTGCTGCTCCTCCTATTTCTGCGCCTGCCCTTACAAAATCCATGCGCCCTCCTGTTAGTACCTCTCCCCTCCCCTCACCTCCTCCTCCCTCGTCTTCTTCTCCGCCCCCTCCCCCCACTCTTCCCGCTCCCCTCTCGTCTTCCTCCGCCCCCCTTCCGTCAACAGACAAACGGAAACGGTTACTGCTCGACGCTGCTCCCTCTCCTGCCGTCTCTTTGGAAAGGCGACGGTATGGACTCATGGTGAACCCTCCACTTCCTCCTCCTTCTCCTCCTCCCTCTCCCCCATCTCCTCCCGCTCCTGCCGCAAAGTAATGGTAAGGGCTATGAATAAACGCTCCTCCCTCTCCTCCCGTTCCGCCCGTTCGTGCCGGGAAGTAATGATAAGGACTCGCGGTAGATCCTCCGTCGGTGAAAAACGATTCTGCCGCCGAGTGCGCGTCATCCTCCTCCATTTCCACGTCATCAATCGACGCCGCCAGGTCACAGTCCACACTCCTTCGCGGCGGCTGCAGCGAATCGACTTGTGACTCCGACTTGAGGGGCTTGCTCTTCGCGACTTGCGGCGGGTCATGAAGGCTCTTTTCTTCTAGATGTCGAGTCGCCTTGGTATCGCCATGGCGGCCGCGATTGCCGCTGGCAGGCGAATCGGCGACGAGGCCGTTACTTGAGTACGCTGTCGCCACGGGCGAGCTGCTTCCCGCGTGCGCTGTCGTTATTGGCGAACCGCGACCGGCATACACGCGCCGCTGCCCCATAATTGACTGCGCGAACGAGCCGCTGCCTGTGTTAGTGGGTGCTCCCACGCGAAACATTGTTGAATTAGAAAACGGCTAACTTCTTAGCGCGTATGCAAAGGAATCCAGTAGCGGGCTCGTGGTGGCAATACGCGGCACGCCAAAAGCTGAGCCCTAGATAGTTGTATGCGGTTTAAAAAACTCGAATGTTAGCAGTCTGAGTAGCGTGAGGAATATGCAATCCGCTGAGAGTTAGGCCTTGAAATGAATCACGCTAAAGAACTAAGCGACTGTTGATGTTCAGATGTGCGACGTTTAGTCGAACTGTGGTCCATGCAAGGAATGCACTAACGGCTAATCTGGCGTACGGCCGGTAATCGCGCCAGCAACAACACCGCTGCCGTTACACCGTACTGGCAAACGGCCATTGGAGGCTGGAGCAGCTCCAAGCGACTTGCGAGGCGACTCAAAAATTGGCTCCTAGCGGCTCTCTATATTTTTGTCCACTAAAAAACAGGCGGCCATTGGAGGCTGCAGCAGCTCCAAGCGACTTGCGAGGCGACTCAAAAATCGGCTCCTAGCGGCTCTCTCTCAACTAGATGAAGGCACTGTCTTGGCGGAATGACCAGCAATGCGGCCTTCCGCGAGGTGTCACATAAGGCGTTTCTTGTGAGGGAATGACCAGCAAAACGCGAGAAACTACCTTTGGTGTTCCACGGACCACGTATGAGGGAGAGAATGGGGAGAGAGGGAATGGTTTCGTACGGCTGAATTGAACATCCAAACAACAACCACATGGAAGGAGATGGGATGAGATGAGATGAGCCGGTTTGGGTGGGAGGAGAGTGCTGGGACGAGATGGATACAGCACTCGTACTGTACCAACCAAATTGTTTGTCAACGCCAAATGAGGGTTGCGTTCACGGGGCAAGCGCAAAAGGGTGAACAAGAAGAGCAAAGATAAGAAACAAGTACAGTAGTACGAAGGGGCGATTTTCCTCGTGGAAAACAGCAAAATCGCCCCCTTTTTCCCACCAACGGACGAAATTTGTTTCGTCGAATGCAAATTGTGCTTTTCGGCTTCCCCCAACCACCACTGGCCCGCGGTCGAATCCAGACCTGAGCTTGTTCAGACGTGTAACGCGGCACCGATAGCGCCTCGAAATGGTTTGGCAAAGCTTACGTGCTGGGGGCGAAACTTTGCCGAACCGAGCGTTTCGGTATGAGGCAAGGTGATTGGCTGTGATCTTGCCACTTTATGGGTACCTTCGGTGTGGCGACATTCGGCTGAAGCGAAAGCACGCGTCGCTGCTACTCGGAGCCGAATCAGAGACCGTGAGACCTCACTTGCCACGTCATGGATCTCGTTCGGTAAAGCAGATTAGGGATATCCAACTTGGTTTGCAACTTCGTGCGAGGATTCTGCTTCGTTTAAGCCTGCGCCCTTGTAAGTCCACTATCTCCGACTTCTTTGCTGCCAACAAAGATACACCAACCCTGCCTAAAATATATTAGTAGCTTGCTCTATGTAAACATACTCGCCACATCAAAACTCAGCGGAGGGAGTCCGTTTCCTGAATCACACCAACAACGCAAGCACACCAGCAACCAGCACAGTAAGCATCGAACCCGGACCAAAAAACCCTGCCGAGCCTGCTGCTTTGCCGGGCGGCGGCGGTGGAGACGAATTACTGGTACCAGCAGCACTAGGGTTACCACTTGCTGTACCGCTTGCCGGGCTACCAGGCGCGGGCGGAGACGAAGCAGCAGGGGATTCTTCAGGTGCAGGCGGGGACGAATTAGCAGGAGATTCTTCAGGTGCAGGCGGGGACGAATTAGCAGGAGATTCTTCAGGTGCAGGCGGAGACGAACCAGCAGGAGATTCTCCAGGTGCAGGCGGGGAGGAGGCGGACGGAGGGGTGGCGGCGTTTGTCTGGTTGCTGCAAAAGTCCGGAACAGTGCGGTTGAGCACTTTGAGGTATTCGGGGTGGGCAGTGGTGTCGAGGAGATTGCGGGGACAGGTGGCGGGGAGGATGAATGGGTCGCAGCAGCCGGCAGCAGCAGGAAGGGGCCTTCCTGTCATGTTCCAACAGGCCTTGAGAAGGGGCTGGATGGGGGAAGAGAGGGAAGAGACATATATGGAGGGGGAAGAGAACGGAGGGGACTGTAAGTGTGAGGGTAGTGGGGAGGATGAATGGGTCACGCAGTGGCCATGAGCAGCAGGGAGGGGCCTTCCTGTCATGTTCCAGCAGGCCTTGAGGGTGGGCTGGAGGAGGGGAGGGCGCGAGGAAAGAGTTGAAAGGGGTAATAAAGGGTTGAAAAGGGCAATGAAGAGTTGAAAGGGGTAATAAAGGGTTGAAAAGGGCGATGAAGAGTTGAAAGGGGTAATAAAGGGTTGAAAAGGGCGATCAAGAGTTGAAAAGGGTTAAAAAAAAGTTATTTCTTTTCAATTATTACACACTAGCTACCAACCAAGGGTTTATCCCACTCACATCCACGAAGTTGACTTGCAAGTCCTTGATGCCCTCCGCGGTAGCAAACCCCTGGAAGAGCTGCCGGGTGAATGTGTCCGGGCTGTTCACAAAGTGCAGGTGCATGTGATTGAGCTGCACTGCACGCACCAAACCATCAACTCACATCCACGAAGTTGACTTGCAAGTCCTTGATGCCCACTGTGTTGGCGAACCCCTGAAAGAGCTGCCGCGTGAACGTGTCCGGGCTGTTCACAAACGAGCCGAGCGTGCCGGGGAACCCGGGGACTGGGGATGGGAGGGGGTGAAGGGGGGAGAGGAAAGAGGAGGACGAAGGGAAACAAAACAGGACATGAGGAGATCTAGTTTTGAGGCGCCTCAAAGCAAGAGGAAAGGGGGGGACGAAGGGGGAACAGGACATGAGGAGATGGTCTGTTGGAGAGATGCCGCGTGAATGTGTCCGGGCTGTTGAGAAACGAGCCTAGCGTGCCGGGGAACCCGGGGACTGCAAGGGCGGGGGGTGGGGAGGAAGAGGAGAGAGGAGGAAGAAGGGGGAACAGGACATGAGGAGAGAGGAGGAAGAAGGGGGAACAGGACATGAGGAGATGGTCTGTTGGAGAGATGCCGCGTGAATGTGTCCGGGCTGTTGAGAAACGAGCCTAGCGTGCCGGGGAACCCGGGGACTGCAAGGGCGGGGGGTGGGGAGGAAGAGGAGAGAGGAGGAAGAAGGGGGAACAGGACATGAGGAGAGAGGAGGAAGAAGGGGGAACAGGACATGAGGAGATGGTCTGTTGGAGAGATGCCGCGTGAATGTGTCCGGGCTGTTGAGAAACGAGCCTAGCGTGCCGGGGAACCCGGGGACTGCAAGGGCGGGGGGTGGGGAGGAAGAGGAGAGAGGAGGAAGAAGGGGGAACAGGACATGAGGAGAGAGGAGGAAGAAGGGGGAACAGGACATGAGGAGACGATCCCTGGAAGAGCTGCCAGGTGAATGTGTCCGGGCTGTTGACAAACGAGCCTAGCGTGCCGGGGAACCCGGGGACTGGGGAGGGGAGAAGGAGGGGAGGGAGGGGAGAGAGGAGGGAGAATTGCAGATGAGGACACGGGAGGTGGTCTGTTGGAGAGATGCCGCGTGAATGTGTCCGGGCTGTTGAGAAACGAGCCTAGCGTGCCGGGGAACCCGGGGACTGCAAGGGCGGGGGGTGGGGAGGAAGAGGAGAGAGGAGGAAGAAGGGGGAACAGGACATGAGGAGAGAGGAGGAAGAAGGGGGAACAGGACATGAGGAGATGGTCTGTTGGAGAGATGCCGCGTGAATGTGTCCGGGCTGTTGAGAAACGAGCCTAGCGTGCCGGGGAACCCGGGGACTGCAAGGGCGGGGGGTACACCCACACACCCACACACCCACGCACCCACACACCCACACACCCACACACTCACACTCTCACACACTCACACTCTCACACACCCACACGCCCACACACCCACACACTCACACACCCACACACCCACACACCCACACACCCACACACTCACACACCCACACACTCACACACTCACACTCTCACACTCACAAGTGGTCTGAAGAAGGCTAATAAGCCGAAACCAGTTACCATCAACTTTTTCACAAAGTCTGTTCAAGCAAACAACTTTTCTACTTTTTAACTAAACAAGTCGCTGCCACGTAAAGAGATGGCTCCAACCTGGGGCTCCATCCTTCACGGCGCCGTAAAACTGCTGCGACACGTTCTTGCACACCGACTCTTTCACTGTGGTAGGGATCTGGGCTCCTTGACTGCAATTCTCAGACACTTTACAGTCATATGCTCGCACGCTCAAACCCTCGTTACACTCACAGGTGACGTCCTTCACGGCGCCATAGAACTGCTGCGATACGTTCTTGCACACCGACACCTGTGGGGCTCGTTCACTTGACTGAGCCAGCCAGACACCTTACACGCATATGCTCGCACGCTCACATCCCCCCCCCTCCCTTCCCCTCAACACTCACAGGTGACGTCCTTCACGGCGCCGTAAAACTGCTGCGACACGTTCTTGCACACCGACTCTTTCACTGTGGTAGGGATCTGGGCTCCTTGACTGCAATTCTCAGACACTTTACAGTCATATGCTCGCACGCTCAAACCCTCGTTACACTCACAGGTGACGTCCTTCACGGCGCCATAGAACTGCTGCGATACGCTCTTGCACACCGACACCTGTGGGGCTCGTTCACTTGACTGAGCCAGCCAGACACCTTACACGCATATGCTCGCACGCTCACATCCCCCCCCCTCCCTTCCCCTCAACACTCACAGGTGACGTCCTTCACGGCGCCGTAAAACTGCTGCGACACGTTCTTGCACACCGATACAGTGGGCTTGGGGAGCAGCGCGAAGTACGATCCGCTGTCTGTTGTGGAAAGGGGGAGCGGTGCGGCAGGGGGAGGACGGGTTGGGAGCAGTTTACACGCCTGTGCAATCGACTCCAAGAGTGTTCTTGCACACCGATACAGTGGGCTTGGGGAGCAGCGCGAAGTACGATCCGCTGTCTGTTGTGGAAAGGGGGAGCGGTGCGGCAGGGGGAGGACGGGTTGGGAGCAGTTTACACGCCTGTGCAATCGACTCCAAGAGTGTTCTTGCACACCGATACAGTGGGCTTGGGGAGCAGCGCGAAGTACGATCCGCTGTCTGCTCAGGTGAGGAGGGGTTGGGAAGGGTGAGGGGGCGGGTGGGGTGATTAGCGTGTTCACACCGGCACGTCTGTGCGGTGGGGAGCGGTTTGAGCCTCCTCAGATAACGTCTCCGTGAGTGCAAACGGACACAGGCGTCACACACTCTCTCTCTCTCTCTCTCTCTCTCTCTCTCTCTCTCTCTCTCTCTCTCTCTCTCTCTCTCTCTCTCTCTCTCTCTCTCTCTCTCTCTCTCTCTCTCTCTCTCAAGCAGTCCTTCATTGATAGGTTCATAGGGGTACAGGCATGGTAGGAATAGAGCTAGATAGGCCTAGGCATTGGAGCTACTAATTATGCAAGGCAGGAACGTGAAGCAAGCAGAACATCTGCACACAGACAAACCGGTCAGGTGAGGCATGGCAAGCAGACAAGGCGAGGCAAGGCAAACCAGCGAGACAGGGCACTGTAAGGCAAGGCCAAGCACGGTCAGGAGTGCAGGCAGGCAGGCCATTCAGGCCAATCATGCAGCAACCGAGCCATGGCTACATCACTGGCCAACACCCACTCCTACCTACTGAGCCATCACAACCTCCAGCTCATCCTCCAGCACTTGCCAGAGGTCCCCCAGGCTAGGTTCCCAAGGGTCCCTAGCAGCCTGGGGGAACGCTGCCTCATCAGAGAGGTTTGACTTGTTCAGATAGGATGTTGCCTGGGAGCGCTGCAGCATCACAGACCAGCGCTGCCGGTAGTGTGCAGTGAGCCGTGCAGTCGTCGTTGTCAACTTCCCCTGGCGGTATTTCTTCTTGGCTGCTGAGGTGGCCAGTAGCCGTAGGAACTCCTGTGTGTCCGAGGACAGAGCCCCATACGTCTCAACCGCGAGGCCAAAGAAGCCGACGTAGTCTGGCCGATCCTCATATTCCCTGTGCTTCCTAGCCGAGGCCTCCTCAGCCGCCCACCCCGGTGGTTTCCGTGCCCTGGTGTCGCGCTGCTGGAGCACAGGGTCAGTCACTGTCACGTCTGTAACCCAGGTCTCGTTTGACTCCCTGTCTCGAATCGCCAGGTCTCCCCTCTTCCTGAGGATCGGTGGGGAAAAAGCTGATGTCTCGTGGAAGCACGTGAAGTCCGCTTCCCTTGCCATCCCGAGGGCTGCAAACACTAGCGCGTTGTGCGTTCTAACGACGTCGCCCCCGTACCCGCACCTAAGGAGATGGTTCGGCAGGCTCGTGTCGTTGATGTCTGAATACTCTCTCTTGCAGGGACACTTCTCAGTGACCGGCATGGACATGCCCATGCGGAACCCCAGCGCCAAGGAGAACTGACCAGGGGCAAATGTAAGGTCAGCTCTCGAAGGCACAGCGTGTAGCCAGTCCCCTGCCCCCACCCCCTGTAGGCTGATGAGGCGGATGGCGTGCCCGCGGTATGTGCCTGGGCGGTCTTTGATCGTGTCAGCCAGTAGTTCCGCTGCTCGCCTCTCATAGATGTGGCGGGAGAGTAGTAGCTGCAGGTTACCCTGTCCTGCTGGCTGCTCCCTGAACGCCTGTAGTGCGGTTCGTGCTGAAGCCGGCAGGGCTGCCTCCAGTGGGGCCAGCGGGAGATGCTCCTCGAGAGTATTAGCATAGCGTGCTGTGGGTGCAGCTGAGCAATCAGGGGCAGTAGTGCGGCCGCTTCTGTGAGGCTTGTCTGTGCCTTGTCCGTACAAAACTCGGGCGTGCCGATCGGGCTTCCCAAAACTCCGATGCCGTTGGTGTTCATGGGCAGGCCCTGTGGTGGTGGGATCTCATTCCCCCCTTCCGTATCCGGTCCACACCCCGAGGACTTGGCGATGTTGCAGCGGAGGCCAACCGATCGGAGCTCCCGTGTGATGGTGACGAAAGCATCATAGGCCGCGTCCCGAGGGCCCACAATGGTGATGTCGTCGGCGTAGGCGACGATCGCCACCTCGGGGAGTAGCGTTGCCGTGCTCAGAAGTGTCGGTTGGATTGCCGTTGCGAAGAGGAGCGGACCGAGCGGATCACCCTGGCGAACTCCTCGGTTGCTCATGATCTGATCGACGCCCAGCTTGTGGTCCACTAAAAGCCTAGACGGGCCGTCGTAAAGCGTGCGTACGAGGGGTAGGAGTGATAACAAGCTCGATTGCGAGAGCGCCTGAAAGAACGCCGGCCGTTCGACACTGTTGAAGGCGTTCTCGATATCGAGCTGTAGCGCTACTCGGCTCTCGTCCTCCTTAAGCAGAGATCGAACTGAGTGGACGATGCACTCTGCGCCGCCTGTGACTGCCACCCCAAACTGAACGGGGAGGAAGTATTCGCGAATGGTCTGTGCTAGTTCCCTCAAAGCCGCCTTTGCCACTACGCGAAGTATTGCTTCTCCTATCGCGATGGGCCTAACGCCTCCTCCCGGTTTTTCCAGAGCGATGAGTCTCGAGGGCAGTAGCAAATCGCGGACCGCCTGCGTCTGGAAGGTGCTAAGGAGGTAGCTGATAGTTTGCGCGAGGAGTATGAGCACCTCCTCACTCGCGAGCGCAGGGTCTTTGAGGTGTTCAAAGCAGGTACCTGATGGGCCTGCTCCCACTCCGTTCGGGCATCGCTTGAGTATTTCGCGAAGGTCGTCTGGTGTTACCCGCAGCTCCGAATGAGTGTAGCCAGAAACGAACATTGCCGGGGGCGATGCAGCATCGGGGTGTTTCGCCTGCAGCGCGGCGAGTGTCGCTGGTGTGGCCTCGGCGAGTGGGGTTGCGCGTAACGCCGCAACTGCCTTCGAGATGTTACCCTTCTTCATAAGTCCTTCCGCCCTAGCACAGAGTCCAGCGTCATCCGCTTGGTGGCGTGACGGGTTCTCCGTATCGGGGATGACCCTAGCCTCCTCGAAAAGTTCCGCCCAGCTGCCTTGCTGGAACCGGTGCAGCCTTCCCTCAATCCCAACCCACCGACTTCCTTGAACTGGTTCGGGAAGGGGCCGCAAGGTCAGCCTCGGGAGGAATTGCAGGATCACCCATGCACCTGGACAGTCGGGAAATTTCTGCAGGCGTAGGAGTGGTGCCAGCACGCAGAGGGTGTAACTTTCCAAAATTTTGGGGGGCATCCTCCGAACCAAGAAAGGTTGGTCCCCCCGCTGAAGTGGGGCAACTTCCCACGTGGCTGCCTGCTGCCAGATGGCCTCGTTTGCCGCCAGCTCGGCCGGTGACTGTACGTTGGGTTGCCCGGTTTCTCTCTGGCTCCCACTCGTCACTACTCCGATCTCTCCCCTTTCGTGGGGGTTTCTCTCCTGGGGGTTTCTCGCACCGGGGTTTCTGTCCTGGGGGTTTCTCCCAATCTCCCTCCGTCCCCTCTCTCTTCCTGTAGTGTCTCCCTCCTCCTCTAGCGAGATCTCTTCTGAGGTTTCGGGGGTCTCGGCTACATAATCCCCCCCGTCCTCCCCATTCCCAGTGTCCCTCTCCTCCTGATTCGTCGGTGGCGCCTCCTGCTCCGGGCGATCGTGGCGTTCCCTCCACGTTCCTGATCTCACAAGCGCCTCCCTTCCGCCGACGATTGCGCCCCCGCCCCTTCTTCCCCCTCTTGCCCCGCGTCCTCCTCCTCGGGCCCCACGGCTCGGCGCTCCTTCCCCGGTCCGGCTCTCATCGTTCCGCCCCCCTCGTCCGGCCTGTGGCGCTCTTCCCGCCGGGATCCACGGTGAGTGTGCCAGTCCCAGTCTCGGACGGCCCCATGTAATTCCTTGTGAGCGTGTGGAGCTCCGTGTTTCCCGCTGTGGGCCTTGTGTAGTCGCTGCCTCCGGGGCGTTGTGTCCTGCCACGTGCCTGACGTCAGCTTCCTCGTCGCCTTCCCCTCTTTCTTGTCCCACAGATGGAGGTCGACGCTCTGGCGATAGTGGCGACTGCTCTTGCTCACTCCAGCCCCGGAGGGGTCCCGGGGCGCCAGGCCCCAGCCCTGCTCCGGGCCGCCTCGGCGCTGGCTGGGCACGGAGCTTCCTCCCGCCCCTCCCGTGAGCGGCGCGTCCAGGGGCGCCGGTCCCGTGACCCCGTCTTCCGCTCGCCGCCTGGTCGCGCTCCTGCGTGTCTGCGCCCTCGGCAGCAGCAGATGTTCCGGCGCTCACAGCGGCCACCGATGCCTCCCCCTCGATCGGGGCGTCGGCCAGGTTCCCTGCCGCGGTCGCAGCAGTCATCGCCGCAGCCAACACCGCTGCCGGTACCGGCGCTGGTGACGCAGACAACGTCACCGCCTCGGACGGTTCCCGATCCACCGCCAGACCCAGCTCCAGCGTCTGCTGTTATGCCCCCTGGTGGTTGGCAGAACGTGAAGTTGAGCCGCCGCCAAAAACGGCGTCAGTTCTGCCAGCCCGCCCCAATGCCGTCACAGCCTCCTCTGGCACCTCCGCGGCAGCAGCCGCTTCCCCCACCATCTCCACCGACGCAGTCGCCGCTGCGACGTTTCCCCTTTCCACCGCAGCCGCCGCCGCCGCCTCGCCCCTCGACGTCTCCTGCACCTCAGCCCTCCTCATCGGCTGCTCCGTCGCCGGCGCCGTTGGGATGCCCGCAGCTGTTTCTTGGCGGGAGGCGCATCCCAATCCCGTGGGAGGTGATGGGGTATCTGAGGGCGGAGGAGGCTCCAGGTGTGCAGTCGCCCCCGCCATCAACTCTGCCATCGTCTCCTCCTCCGCCTGTCGGTCCTGATCCCTCTCCCCCACTGTCTCCGGAGGGGATTTCGCCGCCGGGCTCCCCGCCGCGGAGCAGGGCCCACCGCGTCGC